GACTGGCGATCGTGCACTCGCCGGTTCGCGGCCTTCACGGTGTCCTGCGCATACGGGCCGGCTGCCAGCCCCGACCCCGATTGGCTCCTCGCCACGACGGACGCGGCTTCGAAAATTTCGGGTGGGGCCCCGTGTGTCGTTGTCGGTGACTTCAACTGGCGCCGTGCTTATGATGACTACGTTCAGACCCCCTGGGCGATCGTCGACGCCGTGCCCACCACGGTTGCCGGCACCACCGCTCCCACTCGGTGTCTGCTGGGGGGGTGCTCGGGGGCGGCCGTGGATGCGACCCCCTTGGTCCACGTGCCCCGCCATTTCGGCGTGGTTTTCGAGCTGTCTTTTCCTGCCCCGGCCTCGCCACGCGAGGAGCGCACCAGGCGCACGGCATCGTACAAGATGCGTCGTGCGCCCACTCCGGCCGAGGACCTCCTCCTCCGTTCGGCCGCTCTGGAATGGGGAGGGGCGCCGCAGGGCGCCGACGCCCCCGCTGGCGAGGAGCTCCCGACCCCTGCCCCTCCCTCGGACGGCCCTCCCCCGGACGGCCCTTCCAAGGCCCTGGCTACATGGCACCGGCGCGCTGAGGCTGCCCTTCGAGCGGCCGCGGCCTTGGGCGTCGCCGAGGTCAGTCGGCCGGGCGAGCGGTGCAAAGGTTCCGACCCCACGCTGCGGGCTGCGACGGGCCCTCCGGCCCACCGCCCGCCGGAATCTCACCGGCTCAGGCGTCTTCACAGGTTGCACCGGCGCGTCGAGGAGGCTAGCCGGCGGGCTGGCGGCCCCCTCGGCGCTCTCCCCGGCCGCCTCCGCCGGCAGTGGCGCCGGGCGGCCCGGGACGGGGTTCTCCAAGGGCCCCCGCCTCAGTCTCTAGGCCCGGCGGCTGCTGCGCTCACAGCCGCGGCTGCTAAGGAGGCGCAGACGGACTCCGCCCTCGCCGTCGCGAAGTGGCGCCAGCGTTTCGCTGCTTGGGGGGCGGACACGGCTGCCCGGGCGGCCCGCAAGATGCGTCCGGAGCGATCGGCCCCTACCTTCTCCGCCTCGGACATGAGGGCCGAGTGGGCGCGCTGGTGGACCCCCCCGGGCCCCGCGAGGGCGGCCCCTCTTGAGGCCGCCCTGGACACCGGCCAGGGGCGCGACGACTCGTCTAGTGACCCGCCCGCTGACCCGCCTGCTGCCCCAGGCCAGGGGCCGAGGCACCCTGTCCCTGACTGGACGGGAGCCGCTGCGGACTGGGGGGTGCCCGCGATCCCTCCTCCCCACCTCTGGGCCCCTCCCTCCCTGGAGGCCTTCTGCGACGCCCTCGGCTCCTCCGAAGGCGGCCCGGGCTGGGACGGCTGGGAGGGCTCGGAACTCAGGTTCATGGTCAAGCACATACCCTGGCTGATCGCCGAGCTGCACGGCATCCTCACCGAGGTGATCATGGACGACCAGGAATGGCCGGCAGAGCGCCTGGCCGCCTTCGCTTCGGTTAAGGTCGCTGGCATCCCGAAGCGCGGCTCGGACGACTCTCGGCCGGTGGCCGTGGCACCGGTCTGGCTTCGGGCCTGGCACTCGGCCCTCCTCCCCGACCTGCCTCCGCCGCCCCCCGAGGCCTTCGGCGAGCGGGGCGCCGTCGCGTCCGCGGCGGACTGGGCAGCCGCCCCGGGCCGTGCCGGGGCCGAGATCGATCTCACTAAGGCGTATGATTCGGTTTCGCACTCGGTTGCTGTCGAGGCTTTGCTCCACCTGGGCACGCCTCCGCCGATCGTCCGGTGGCTCCGGCACACGTGGGCTGCCCCCCACGTCTGCTGCGTCGCCGGGACCTCGGCTCCCGCCATCCACCCCACTGCCGGCATCCCCGCTGGGTGCCCCTGCTCGGGCCGGGTCCTGGGGGCCATTTTGCTTCCCTGGCATGTCGCCATGCGGTCGTTGGCCGAGGTCCGGTCTTGGTCGTACGTCGACGACCGGAGCTTGAAAAGTGTTAGTGTGGAGGCCCGCTCTGAAGCCTTGGCTGTGACGGCTACCCTTGACGGCCGGCTCGGTCTTCAGGAGAACGCCGGCAAACGGCAGCTCTGGGAGGACGACGAAGACACGGAGCACTTGGGCATCCGGGCCTGCTCCGGGAGCCATCTGGTGTCCCCTCCGGTCCCGGGCCCTCGTGACGGTTGGGGGACCATCGAAGACTCTACCCGTAAGTTGCTGCACATCCCCGGCAGTTCGGGCATCCGCGCCCTGACGGCTGTCATGTCCGTGGCTTCGAAGTACAGATGGGCCGTCCCGTTCGTGGAGTGCCCCCCGCCTTCCTTGGTCAAGCTCACCTTCTGGTGCGTCGCTCGCACCCGGTGCACCTGGTGGGACCAACGGCGTTGGTGGGCCGAGCGCCTTGAGCTCCACCCCATCCTCGGCACCTCTCTCCAGGCCCTCCGCCTTGCCGCTCGCTTCCCTCGGTCTCCCCTTTGGCGGTCGTGCGTGGCACATCACGCGGCCACCTTCGGGCTGGTCTCCCACCCGGACTCGCCTGGGCTTCTGCCTGTCTGGGTTCGCGCCGGGCCTGCTCTCGACCCGCGGGCCGCGGCCGCCGTGGCTGAGATCGTGGCCTCCTCCGCCCTCCCGCCCTACTTCGATGCCTCCTCTCCCCGGGGGCAACACACCCTCCGGGTGTGCGCGCTCGCCCAGCTGCTTCAGGTACGTCTGCAGGCGCAGCGGAACGACGAGGAGGGGATGAACGACATCGACATCGAGGCTTCGTCCCGGCTCCCGTGGAGCTCGTGGCGCGACAGCCTCACTAAGGACCAGCTCGGCCTTCTGTCGGTGTGGCGCGGTGGGGCTTCCAGCACCCCGACGCGCCGATCCCACGGTCGGGCCCCATGCCCGTTCTGCGGGCACGTCGCGGCCTCGGCCCGGCACTTCTGGGCCGAGTGCCCCCGCTTCGCTCCCGACCGCGCCGCCCTTGGTTCGGAGTATGGTGTCACCGAGGCCTGGTGGGCTGCCCAGCCCAGGGTTACATCCAAGAGTGGCTGGATCACCGCGATCGCCGGCCCCACCACTGAGGCCCGGTCTCGGCGGCAGGTGATGTCCTGCAGGCTCGGCATCCGCATCCTGGAGGTCCTGCCATGGGACTACGCGGCGCCGGCCCCAAGAGGGCCTGCGGCTCGGCGGCCGGCGGCGGCCGGCCTGGACGGCGCTCCGCCCCCGAAGCGGCGGCCCGCGCCTCCCCCCTCCGCCCCCCCTCCTGGCCCGGCTCAGGCGGGCGCCGCGGCCGAGGCGGACGACGCGGAGCCCGACTCCGCCGACGACGACGACTTCGACGACCCCCGTCCGCCCCCGCCCCCTGGTGGTGGTGCGGTGGTGGTCGGCACTCCTCAGAGCCGGGCACGGGAGCTATCTCCTGTTCCCCCATCCCTGCCGGAGAGGGCCCGGCGTAGGCCTCGCCCCACCTCCCCTCCCCCTCCTCGCCGGACTCGGTATCGAGCTGGATAGGACTTTTTAGTGTGCTTGGGCTTTCCCATGTACGGTGACTCCGGCCGGGCTTCGCCCTAGGCGATTCTTGGCCGGTTTCTTCCTCACCCTAGACTACTTTCTCGGCCTCCGGCCGAGGGCGTCGAGGCATCGTGAAGCCTGTCGCCTGCAGCCACAAAGGGCCCCCTAGGGCCTTCTTGGGTGGTCCTCGGGCCGTCTTGGAGCCATCTTGGGCCGCTCTTCGGGCCATCTTGGGGTCCCGTTGGCCTGTCTTGGGCGCCTCTGGGGCCGTCCTGGGGCCGCCTTGGACCGTCTTGGGGCCCTCTTGGACCGTCTGGGGGTCCTCTTGGGGCCCTCTGGGACCGTCTTGGAGCGGTCTTGGATGCCTCTGGGGGGGGTTCGGAGCGTCGGGAAGCCGAAAAAGCGAGGAAGCAAAAAACCTCGGAAAAAACAAATGAAATTCAAGTTTTTGGCCTCTCGGGGCTCTCTTGGGAGGCCTCTTGGGAGGCCTGTTGGGCCGTCTTGGGGGGCTCGTGGGCCGTCTTGGGCCAATCTCGGGCGTTTTGGCCGGATCATTGCGCGTCTCGGGGCCCTCTTGGGCCGCCTTCGGGGCATCTTGAGCGGGTCGGAGCCGTCTTGGAGCGGCTCGGAGCAGTCTTTGGGCCGTCGGGGCGGCCTCCGGAGCGTCTCGGAGCCGTTTCCGGGCATTTGACGCTTTTTCCTTCCGGCACGCGGTTCCTCCGGCCAGTATAGACTAGAGTGCACCCGTGGAGCCAATCCGCATGTGCCCTGGCAGGGGAACGCGGCCACCCGTCTCTGGTCCATCTTGGGTCGTCTTGGGCGCCTCTTGGGCCAGAGACCGCCCCAGGAGGACTCAGCACCGCCCCAGATGGCACCCGGGAGGCCGGGAGGCCTGGAGGGGCAGCCCCAGGGCGCTGGAACCATGTGAGGAAACAGGGCCGATATTCCCCCCATGGCTCCAGATTCTATAGGCGCAGGGCCGGAAGACTCCCTGGGCCGCCCCGGGCGGACGTGGAACCGCCCGCAGATCCGTCTTGGGGCTCTCGGGGGCGGGGGCCTCTTGGAGGCCTCTTGGCCTGGCCTGGGGCGATGTTGCGAGTTGTTGGGTCGGCATGCACGCTAAATGGCCCAAAGTCGGGTATGCTCGGAATGTTATATATATATATAAATATATAATACTAATACTAATACTAATAATAAGAAGAATAATAATAATAATAATAATAATAATAATAAGCCGTCAGAAAGCACAGCATGTTTGCACCAGAAGGCCCTGCTAAGCGCATTCTTGGAGCGCTCTGGGAGCCTTTTGTAAGGATTGCGGCCGTCTGGAGGCCGTCTTGGTCTGTCTTGGGCCCTCTGAGGCCGTCTGGACGCCATCTTGGGCCATCTTGAGGCCGTCCTCGGCCGTGTCAGAGGCATCTTCGACGAACTGGGCCGTCTGGGAGGCGCAGGCCCTCAAGGCGGACCCTCCCGGCAGGCCCCTCCAGGCGCTGCCACCAGAGCAAAGCGCCACGCGCTGCTGCCGGTATTGTAGGAAAGATGACGTCGGGCTCCAGCTTCGCCGCCCACATCTCGCTCAGCAGCGCCAGTGCCCGCTGCCACTTCTCGCTCTTCTCGCACGCGCTGATCCCAGCATTGTAGCTGACTAGTGTGAACCCGTGGATTAAATCCTAGGGCTGACCCGTGGACTACGTCCACTCGCGAGGGGGATCGGTGGCGCCGCCAGGCGCATTCTCGACCAGGTTGGGCCCCCATGCTCGCTCTTTCCACGTCATCTCGCTGATACGCGAGAATGCCCAGTGGTCACGGGCGTCGTGGAGGCGGAGGCGGAGGCGGAGGCGGAGGCGGAGGAGGAGGAGGAGGAGGAGGAGGAGGGGGAGGAGGAGGCGGAGGAGGAGGAGGAGGCTGGGGAGGAGGAGGAGGTGGGGGAGGAGAGCCCAAGAAGCGCTGGGTCGACGCCCGCAGCTCCCCCGAGGACGAGATCGAGCGCGGGGGGCGGCACGTCAAAGTGCGTCCGCGGCCAGGGTGCCGAGGCCTCGGCGCCCCCCCCCCCTGAGGCGCGGGCACGATCTGACGCGGTCCGCGGGCAGGGGGGTGCGCAGGCCGCTCGGCGTCCGAGCTCGGGGCCGCGGGCAACGCTGCCGTCGGACGTGGCTGGGCAGGGCACGCGACGGGACACGAGACCCTGCCGAGGGCCACAGCGCCGCACAGTCGGGGCGTTGACCCAAGGAACCCTAAATAAGGAACGAGGCTCCTTCTCTCCATAAGTTAAACTTCGATTTCCGATCGAAGACATAAGGAAAACCTGAGGCAAGCTGTGAAACACGTAAGGGACGCGGAGCCCCTCCCCAACCAAAAGGGTTCCTTCTTCAGGGCCCCGACTGTAGGAATACAGGAGGCATGGGTCGCGAGGCGCAGGACACGAGGGTACCCCTGATCTGGCAGGGTCGACCTAGTGATCAAGGCCGAGTGTAAGCACACCGTCCTTGCGTTGAGTATCGCCCTCGCCTCCCCGAGATGGGCGGTCCCGAAGGCTAGGCGGGACCGTCTTGGCTCGGAGCCTGATTTTTCACGCATGCAATGCGCATCCTTCTTGTTCCTCGCTCTTTGGTTCTCTGGAGACAATCTTGGGTAGTCTTGGGGTCCATGTTGGGGGGCAGTCTTGGGGTCCAATCTTGGCTCCCTTGGGGGTCCTCCCGGGGCTCTCTTCGGGCAAACTGGAGCATCTTAGGGGCCTCCTGGGAGCCCAGAGGCCTGTTGGGGGTCACGGGCCTCTCACGCTCACTCTGGAGGCCTCGTTGGGGCCTTCTGGGGGCCGTCTTCGCGACGTCTTGGGGCCTCTTTGGAGCTTTCTGGAGCCGTCTTGGCGGCCTCTTGGGCCGCCTCTTGGGGTCTTCTTGGGCTGTCTTGGGCCCTCCTGAGGGCCTCCTGGGCCGTCTGGGACAACCGTGGAGCGCCCCTGTGGCCGTCTTGAGCGGTCGGGAATCCGAAAAGGCGACCAAGCTACAATCCATCAAGAACCATAAACATGTTGTCACTTCGAGAGGCACTTGAAAACGTTTTTGGGGAATCGGCGGTAACCCGGCTTATACGGGGGGGAGGGAGGGGGCCGGCCGATAACCTAACCTTCGCGCTGTGGGCAGCCCTGCATATGCCCGCGCGCACCGGTGCTGCAGACCCTACAGCTGCTAACGATGCTGCCGCGATGCTACTCTTGGTGCTGCGACGATGCGGGCGCCGTGTGATAGTGCCTAGGGATGTCTGGACAGCTCGCATTGGAATACGCGGGATGTGATTCCTAAGCGCAGCCGCGAAGTCTTGTGTACACTATCCATAGAGTATGCGTGCACCATACTGCCTGTGAGCACTACAACACATGCCTGCGCCACAACGGTCTTGCACACCACTGGTGCTGTTGCAGCAGCAGAGGCTTCTGCGTGCACAACAGCGCCTGTGTACACCCCGATGCCTGTGCACACCACTGGATCCGCGTGCACCACAGCGCATGGCGAATATTCGCGCCACAGCGCTTCCGTGCACCTCCAAGATCCCGCTGGTGCCCAAATCTGGAACATCCCCGGGGGCCCGAACGTATCAAATTCAATACGTAAGTTATTAATCGCTTCGCTCATTCCGCCGGCCCATACAGTCTCATGTCTGCCGTTTGCCCGAGGGCCTGGTGTCAATGCGGCGCTTTGGGGGTTCCTGGGGCCGCTTGGGGGACTCCTGGGGCGCTCGGGGGGGCATTTGGGGGGCCTCCTGGGGCCGCTTGGGGGACTCTTGGGGGCCTCCTGAGGGCCCCGTGGGGGCCTCTTGGGGCCTCTTAGGGGCCTCGTAGGGGCTTCTTAGGGCCGAGGGCTCGAAATGTTGTTTCGTGTTCCCTCTCTGGGGCCCCTTTGGGGGCGTTCTTGGGGCCCTCTTGGACCGTTTTGGAGGCTTCTTGGGCCGTCTTCGAGCCCTCTTGGGCCATCTTGGGGCCCTCTTGGGTGCCTCTTGGGCCCTCTTGGGGCGATCTTGGGGGCCTCTTGGGCCGTCTTGGGGCGTCGGGAAGCCGAAAAGGTGGAAGCTCCAAAATCTCTCAAAAACCTATGGAAAAACAATGATTTTTGCCTCCGGGGGCCCTATTGGGAGTGCTCTTGGAGGCCTCTTGGGGCGTCTGGGGGCTATCTTGGGCGTCTTGGAGCGATCTTGTGGCATGTCGGACCCCTCGTGTACCATCTTGGGGGCCTCTTGGGGGCCTCTTGGCCTTTCTTGGGGCTCTCGGGGACGTCTCGGAGCCCTGTTGGTGCGCTCATGGAGCGCTCGGGGGGACCCGGCCGGGACCTGGTCGGGGTACTTTTCGTCCGGGGACCCCCAGGGGCCGCCCCGCGCGCGCGAACTAGAAAATTGTTAACCAGTTACCGGAGATCTTAGCACGCCTCTGGCCCGTTGGGCCGGCGAATTATTGATTATTGGTTTGTCTTGCCTGGGGTGCGGTCCCTCTCTCCATTTTGGGCCGACCATGTCTGTGTACACCACGGTGCCTGTCTAGTGTGCACCACGACGCCTTTGTACAACACAACTGCTTGTGTACACCGCAACCCCTTTCTAGACAACAGCGCCTGTGTACACCACAATGCCTGTGAACACAACAAAAGCCGTGTGCACCACAGCGCCTGTGTACACAGCGGTGCTTGTGCACACCACTGGAGCCGCGTGCACCACGGGAGGAGGAGGAGGAGGAGGAGGAGGAGGAGGAGGAGGGACGGAGGAGGAGGAGGAGGAGGAGGAGGAGGATAGGATAGGATAGGATAGGACCGTGGGGCGCCGATCCGTGACAACTCTACAGACTGCAAACTACCATCTGAGAAAGCATACCGCAGAGAGAGAGGTGGCGCCTGGGTTCTCCGCGTGGAGGGCTATCATGACACGCCGCACGCGCGCTGATCGGCGCCCGAGAGGGGCCGACTCTGGCCTGGCGGCGGGCCCAGCAGGCGCGCAGCCTTGAGGCTGCCGCCCTCGGCACCGCCACCAGCTACCTGCCCGGACGGTGCCGCCCAATTCCCTTGCCTGGCGGGCGAGGGCGAGGGAGTGCGATGGCTGGCCCCACTTCGGGAGCCGAAGGAAGGGAGGAGGAGGAGGAGGAGGAGAGGGAGGAGGGAGGAGGAGGGAGGGAGAGGGCCCCCTCGAGGGGGCCCTCGTGGGCCGGCCCGTGCCTCCCAGCAGCTCGAGGAGCCCTCTTTGGGCCCACGGCGCGGCCGCCCCGGGGCCACAGCGCGAGGCCCCCCCTCCGGGCCGTGCGGGGGGCCTCCCCTGGCCGCCGCGGGGCCCCGCCGAGGGCCTGAGGATAATACGATGCAGTGCATCGTATTATCCTCAGGCCCTAGCGCATCGGATGTATCGGATGCATCCGATGCATCCGATGCGCATCGGATGCATCCTTACTATGGTTAGTCGTCTTGTGCATCGGATGCACAAGGAGACGAGCCATAGTAATCCGATCCCACGAATAAGACAACTATAGCGCTGCGGATCGTAATTATACTTTTGTGGGTTATGATGATAGTAACATACACAGGAACCACAGTTGGAGTCGGAGCTCGGCTGGGGCCCTCTCGGGCAGCTCCTGGGGAGTCTCGGGGGGCCGCCGGAAGCTCGATCGCCTCTGGACGCCCGAAGTGGGTGCGGAAAGAATGGGCACAGTGCCCAGCAACAAGTGCTGTCCCAAACCGGCAGAGGCCGCTGTGGGGCAGGCGGCCTTCTGTCTCGAATGGACACAGGCCGCGGCGGCGTGGACAGCGAATCCTGTTCAAAATGAGCAGGAACTGCTGTTGGGCATTGTACCCATTCTTTCCGTACCCACTTCGGGCGTCCAGATCGCTGGTCTTTGGGGGCGTGGCACCCTCTTGGGCCGTTTTGGTGCGCCCGTCCGGGGCCTCGAGGGGCACCGTGGGGCGATCGCAGAAGTGCCCGAGGCTGCGTGGGGCCGTTCTGGGCCTGTCATTGGGAGGCTGTGCAGAAACAGTCGAAACACACAAGGTCTTTGCTTGCATTGTGGCCTCGTGGGACCGTCATCGGGGTCCTCGTTGGCCCCTTGAGGCGGTCCTGGGAGCCTCTTGGATAATCTTTGGGCTAGGGTGGGGGTCTGGGGCTTGGGTGGCTCCTGGGGCGTCTCGGGAGGCCACCTGGAACTCCATCAGGCCGTCGTGGGCATGTCTTGGAGGTCTCTTAGGCCGCCGTGGTGCGCTCGTCGGGGCCTCTTGGCCCCCAAGAGGCTTCAAGAGGATACAAGGAGGCACACAATACGCTCTCCAAGGCGGCCCTGGGCTCGCCAGGATGCCCCCTCTCCTCCTCCTCCTCCTCCTCTTCCTCCTCCTCCTCCTCCTCCTCCTGCGAAAATGTCTGGAGCCGTTCTGGGCACGGCATGGCGAGAATGTGGGAGACATTCACAAATCGAAGTGTTTGCTTGAGTTCTGGTCCTGTGGGCCCTCTTGGGCCGTCCTGGGCACCTCTAGGGCCATCTTCGGACCATGGTCGGGGTCTGGGGCCGTCTGGGAGTCTGGTTTGGGGCCGCCTGGGCAGCTCTGGGGGCGTCTTGGGGGGCAATTTGAAGCTCGGTTATGCGTTCCAGGGCCTGTTCTGGGCCGTCTTGGGGCCCTCGTTCACCGTCTTGGTGGGCTCGTGAGGGCCTCTTGGGCCATCTCAGTGCGACCTTGGAAGGACCTGGAGCAGTGTGGGGCCGGTCTGGGCCCGTCAGGGAGAACGTGGAAAACTTAGAAAATACATATTTCCCACCCGACAGGTTGGGGATGTTAGATTTCAAGAACAGGCCTCCCTGCAAACCCCACCCTGCATACCGCGGCCACCAGACCCCAAGTTGTCTCGATGGTCCCAGGTGTCCCGCCTCGCGCCCGGCCAACCCCGCCCGGATACCGCGGCCGCCAGACCCCAACTTATCCCGATGACCCCAGAGAGTCCCGGGTGTCCACCCTCGCGCCCTCGACGAACACGACAGAACACGACGTGACAGAACAGAACCGATCATATCAGAACACACCTTGACAGAACATACCATAGCATGACACAGCATCACAGAACATACCAAATCACGACAGCAGAGCATAGCGACGACGAAGACAATATAACAACAACTGATAAAAAAGACATGACATAACAGAAACGGGGCATTACATAAAATGACAGAGCAAGACATAGCGGCGTCATGACAACATAGAACATACTAGAATACCACATAACATACCGGAGCAGAGTATGACATACCAGAAGACAACATAGTCTCAACCTAACATAACATAACCGAGCATCACATAACACACCTTGACATAACATACCGGGTCATGACACGTAATCACAGAACATATAACACCACAGCACAGCACAGCGACACATACTAGCACAACAAACCATACAATACTATACAGAGCCGAGCCGTCAGCAAAAAAAATATCACAGAACATGCCAGAGCAGAGCATGATAGAACAGAAGACGGCATAACACAGCATAACATAACATAATCGAGCAACACATGCCACACCTTCATAGAACATAGCATATCATGGCGCAGCATCACAGAACATACCATGTCACGACAGCAGAGCATAGCGACGACGAGCACGACAGAACACATCATGACACAACTTAAAATGACAGAACAGAACACGAGCATGGCAGAACCTGACAAAAGAGATCATAGAAATGCCATGACAAAGTAGATCATTAGAGCATAAACATCAGATACCAAAGCAGAACATGACATGACCGAAGTCGACAGAACACAACGTAACATAACATAACCGAGCACCACACAACACACCTTGACATAGCATACCATTTCATGACACATCATCACAGAACATATCATAACACGAAAGCAGAGCATAGCGACACATATCAGCAACGCAGACCATACCATACTGTACAGAGACGGGCCGCCAACCACCATATCATCACATAACATGCCAGAGCAGAACATGACACATCAGCAGACGGTATACCACAACATAACATAACATAACATAACATAGCCTAGCACACCTTGCTATACCATATCCTAGCATATCACTGCTTGGCAACATCACACAACATATCACACCACGGCAGTGACATATAGCGACATACGAAAGCAGAGCAGATCATACAATGCTACACTGAGCCGAGCTGTCAACAGTATCGCGGAACCGAGCATATCAGACAACATCCTGGCATGGCATACAATGTCATAGCATAGCGCCACAGAGCAAGTCACACCATAACATCCCAAAGCGTATGGTGATAGAAATGATCATAACATACCATACTCAAACATAAGGTAATCATATAAGTTGAGAGGAACATCATAACAGACGACGCGTTTGACGTCACAGGCGTCAGGGGCCTGCTCTGGGCCGTCCTGGGGCCCTCGTGGACCGCCGTCGTGGGCTCGCGAGGGCCTCTTGGGTCGTCTCGGTGCGATCTCGGAAGGACCTGGAGCCGTGCGGGGCCGTTCTGGGCCCGTCGTGGGAAGAACACAGACAGCCGTGGACAGTGCATGGTTCTCCCATGTTTTGGACTCGCGGGGCCGTCGGAGTCCTCCTGGGCCCTCGTGGGGCGCCCCTCACCATTGGGTCCTCTTGGGGCCAAGGCAAAGGGCTGGAGCCGCATGGGGGCCCTGCGTGGGTCATGTGCAGCTCCCTGGGGCCCTCTTGGGAGGAGGAGGAGGAGGAGGAGGAGGAGGAGGAGGAGGCGGAGGAGGAGGATAGGAGGAGGAGGAGGAGGAGGAGGAGGAGGAGGAGGAGGAGGAGGAGGATGAGGAGGAGGAGGAGGAGGAGGAGGAGGAGGAGGAGGAGGAGGAGGAGGAGGAGGAGGAGAGGAGGGGAGGGGAGGAGAGGGGGAGGAGGAGGGCAGTCCCAGGGGCCCCGAGGCAGCTACGGGCGCTCTGGGCCGCTCCGGGCCGCTCCAGAGCGCCTCGAGGGGGGCTGCTTTATCACTAAAGCGCACGCGCAACGCCCAGAGTGGTACTACTCAGGAGAGACAGAAGTACCACTACCACCAGCTACGGGGGTGGCCGCTCCCTCCCCTCGAGCTGGTGGCACCTCCTTCGGGGAACTCTCTGGAGGCATGCCCAGAACGAGGTGCCACCAGCTCGAGAGGGTGGGACAGCCACCCCCCTAGCTGGTGGTAGTGGTACTCTTGTCTCTGGTGAACTACAGACATGACGTTGGGCTCCAGCTTCTCTGACCGCATCTCGCTGAGCAGCGCCAGCGCCCGCTGCCACTGCTCGCCCTTTCCGCACGCGCTGATCCCAGCGCTGTAGCTGACTGGGGCTGACCCGCGGCCGCGGAATCTGCCCGCCGTGGTGTGGACGTGGTAGTGGAGCGTCTCCGTGGCCTCGCAGGTGAGGGGCGGTTGGAGGGGACGGCGTGGACGGAGGAGGTGGCCGCTGGAGGGGGAGGTGGGCGAGGGATGCAGGCAAGCAGGCCTGAAGGCCAGAACGCAGTGGTGGAGGCCGTGTCAGTGCAAGCGCACCCATGTACGCAGGCATGACATGGTGTGGACAGAAGCTGTTTCTCACGCCGCAGTCTGTGTTCATCATAGCTTCTGCGGGGATGGTCGCCGTGATAATGTTATCTGCTCTTCGCCGAATGATAATTGTATCTGGTAGCGTGGTGACAGTGGGGCCGGCGGGCGCGGCCCAAAAGGCCCGCAAGAAGGCGGCGAGACGGCCCAAAAGGTCTCCAGGACGGGCCAAGAGGCTTCCCAGACGGCCCCAGCGAGGGCCCCGCGAATTCCCTAAGACGGCCCCAGTGCGAGGACACGAATCGACCTTTCGAGCGCACCGCCCCAAGACGTCCCCCAAAGGCGCAGATATGGCTCCCAGAGGGTCCAAGAAGCCCCAAAGACGACGCTGGAAGTTCGACGCTCCCCAAGAGAGAAGGATCCAAGGCCTCTTGGGGACAGTTTGGGGGCCTCTTTTCGTCCTCCTGGGGGTCTATTGGTGCCCTTTTGGGCCGCCTTGAGGGCCTCTTGGGCCGTCTTGGGGCGATGTGGGGCCGTCTCGGGCGCCTGTCGGACCATCTTGGGGCCGTCTTGGGGTCATCTTGGGCCTAGCTCTTGGGGCTGTCTTGGGTGTTTCTTGAGCCGTCTCGGGCGCCTCTGGAGCCGTCCCGGGGCCAACTCGGGCCGTTTTGGTGTCCTCTCGGGGGCGTCCAGGAGCATCTCGGGCGAGCTGGGGGGCCTGTACAGCCAGCCGTCCTGGAGACTGCTCAGGCGGAAAAGCTCGGAGACGGGGCAGCCGGGGCCCTGTATAGCCGTCTTGGAGACGGGGCGGTGGGGCAGTCTTGAGCCAGAATGAACTGCTCTTGGGGCTGTCTTGGGCGCGTCTTGGGCCGTGTCGGGCGCCTCTGGAGCCGTCCCGGGGCCGTGGGGCCGTTCTGGGGCGCTCCTGGGAGCCTCTGGGCGGCGTGTATAGCCGTCGTGGACGCTGTGAGGGCGAAGGAACAAGACATAGTGAAAACCTACGTTTCCCGCAGGGACTGGGACGATTTTGGCTTGGGGCTCTCCTGGAGGCCCTCCTAAGCCATGTTGGGGGCCTCCTGGCCTGCCTCGGGGGCCTCTGGGGCTGTCTTGGGGCTCCCAAGGGGTGCTCTGGGGCCGTCTTGGCGCTCCCTGGAGTCTCTCGGAGCCGCCCCGTGGGCCAGAATGAACTGCTCTTGGGGCTGTCTTGGGTGCGTCTTGGGCCGTGTCGGGCGCCTCTGGAGCCGTCCCGGGGCCGTGTGGGGCCGTTTTGGGGCGCTCCTGGGGGCCTCTGTGCGCGTCTTGGGGCGAGCTGGGGGGCCTGTATAGCCGTCGTGGACGCTGTGAGGACGAAAAACAAACTATAATCATATAATCAACATGGGCGTTTTTCGTCGGGCAATGGCTTGGGAGTCGCCTGGCCCGCCTTGGGGGCCTCTGGGGCTCCCAAGGGTGATCTGAGGCCGTCTTGGCGCCCCCTGGAGCCTCTCGGAGCCGTCCCGTGGGCCATAATGAACTGCTCTTGGGGCTGTCTTGGGTGCGGGCCGTCTCGGGCGCCTCTGGAGCCGTCCCGGGGCCGTTCTGGGGCGCTCCTGGGAGCCTCTGGGCGCGTTTTGGGGCGAACTGGAGGGCCTGAAGAGCCGTCCTGGACGCTGCGAGGACGAAAACAAAAGACGTGCGTTTCCTGCAGGGAATGAAACGATTTTGGCCTCTTCGGGCTCTCCTGGAGATCCTCCTGGGCCGTCTTGGTGGCAGCCTGGCCTGCCTTGGGGGCCTCTGGGGATCTCTTGGCGTTCCCTTGGGGGGGTCTTGGGGCCTTGTGTGGGCGTATGGGGACCCAGGGCTCGGAGTGTCAGGGTTTTCCCCGTTCTTTGGCCCCCCCTTGGGCCTGGCTTGGGGTCCTCTGGGGCCGTCTTGGGCGCCTCTTGGGCCATCTTGGGGCGCCCTGGGACGTCTGGGGACGCGCTTGGAAGCCTGTTGGGCCGACCTGGGGCGGTCTTGTGGGTCTCTTCAACCGTCTTGGAGCGTCCACTAGCCGAGAAGGCGAGAAGACAAAACTCATTCAAAAACCATGGGATGATCAAAGATTTTGGCCTCTGGGGGCATGCTTCGGAGGACTGTTGGAGGCTCTTGGAAGCCTCTTGGGCCTTGTTGGGGGCCTCTAGGGGGCCTCTTGGACGCTCCTTGGAGCCTCTTATGGCCACTTCGGCGCGTCTTTGGGCGGAGGTCTCGTTTTCTGACGCTCGGGGGCCAGGATCTTCGTGAGGGGTGTCTAAAAATGGCCCTCCAGGGGCGCATTGGTCCACATGCGCTGTTTTGCCCTTGTGGCACTCGCTGATGTCCGCCATAGAGAAGAGACTAGGGCTGACCCGTGGACTCCGTCCACGAAATCATCCTCCTCCGCAGCATCATCTTCAGCGTCATGATCGTCATCGTCATCATCAGCATCATCATGAGCACCATCATCATCATCATCATCACCATCTATCCTGCCGTCCTCTGCGGGGACGGCGGCAGCCTTCAAAGAGAATAAAGGCAAGGGGCTTCATTTTGCGCTGGGGCGCCGCCGCGGCCGAGCAAACTCGGCAGGATCCTGACGGGGTCGCTTGGACCCGGAAGCTATGGCACCAGCAGAGGCTCGCACTGCCGGCCTCGCTGGCACCCATTGAAAGAGCATCGAGCACAGGGAGAAAAGAGGGAGGAGGAGGGGAAAGGGAGGAGCCAGAAAAGCTGCAGAGGACTCCGATGCGGACAGTGATAATGTGTCACACTTTCAATCACCATCTATCCTGCCGTCCTCTGCGGGGACGGCGGCAGCCTTCAAAGAGAATAAAGGCAAGGGACTTCATTTTGCGCTGGGGCGCCGCCGCGGCCGAGCAAACTCGGCAGGATCCTGACGGGGTCGTTTGGACCCGGAAGCTATGGCACCAGCAGAGGCTCGCACTGCCGGCCTCGCTGGCACCCAGAATCCCGCAGCCCCTGCAAGGGCACTCCTGGGCGGTGGTCGGGGAGGAGCTGGGAACGCGTTCAGAAGCCTGTGCTCGAGATTATTTGCCGCGCTGGCGGCGCTGCGAAGCTGGGCAGGCGACAGCGCACTTCTCCTACGCAACATTCCCGCTGGCTTAGCATATCGTCGGACCGATGAGGGGGCCAGCCAGCGTCCGCGGGTCTGGAGGGCATTCGCACTCGCTCTGAAGCGCCACGCGTCGTGGCTGGGCCCTGCATGGCGAAAAGAGTGAGGCGAGAAAGGCAGCTGGGCATCGAAAAATTCGATGCGGTACTCACGGCAGGCCGCCGCCCAGCGGGCGGTGCTCAGACCAGGAAGCAGCGGGGCGGCTTGGTCTCCTGGGTGCGCTGCCGATGCTCTGGCGGCCAAGTTGAGGACCAGCTGCGCCACCCAGCCACGGTCGTGGGCCCCCACGATGGTGGAGGCGTCGTACTCGAAGTTTTTGGCGGGAGGTGCTGTCGGGTCGTCCTCGCTGATCGGCGCGATGGTGATGACGACGTCCTGAGCGCCCGCCATCGGCGGGGTCACGTGCCGCACCGTCAGGGCCACGACCTCGGCGGGGCGCAGGTAGCAGTCGAAGGCGATGACGGACGCGGCCGCCACCAGGGGGAGGGTGCCCCCGCGGCGGAGCCACACGTCGCAGGCCAAGTGGAGGTACTCGATCGGCAACGAGTCGCGGGGCTGCTCGGGCGAGGCGCGCGCGAAGCCGTGCAGAGCGGCCTTCGCGAGCGGCAGGGTGGCTCGGTCCCGAGGCGGGAGCCCCAAGCAGTACGCCGTGCCATACACAGCGTACCTCGCCTTGGCAGGGGGCAGACCGTCGAAGAACATGGCGTCCAGAAACTCGTCCAGCACCGCGTCCCACGAGGCCGCGCCAGTCGGCTCGCGCCCGTGCTGCCTCGCCCGGCGCCCGACCTCCGCGAACGACTCTTGGTAGTGCCGAGCTGTGGTTGGGCGGACAGCGGCGCGACGGCAGGCCCCGGGGGCCTCACCGTAGGCCTCGCGGCGGGCGTCGGCCCGGCGCCTGGCTGCGCGCCGCGCCGGCGCAGGCGGCACGATGGGCACGGAAGTCCGCCAGTTCGTCCCGCCAGGGTTTCCCGTCCCAGTGCTGGACTGCCCCCTCCCAGCCGAGCCGGGCGGCACGCTCAAGGCGCGGGGCCGCCACACGTCGGCTGGGGGCTGCGGCTGGCTGCGCGCTGACTGCCAGACGCCAGTCCCAGAAGTCGTCCAGGAGGGGCTCCCGCGGGCAGCGGAGGCAGCTGGGCGGCGCAGCTGAGCGGCACACCCTGGCCAGTGCCACAGCAGGGCGAGGAGGGTACGCCGCGGCGAAAGAGGTACGCCACCGCGGGCGGGCCCCCGCCAGCTGCACCTTCCCGGCGAGGACGACATGGGGGGCCCCTGGAGCCGGACATCGGCGACTGAGGGTGGACCCCCCAGGCAGCGTGGTGTAGATCGTCGTCGGCTTCTTCCACGGGGCCCCGTAGGCACACATGTCGAAGTCACAGCGCACGGCGCCAAGCCTCGCCAGCGCCCGAGAGATCCCAGGATCGCCGAAGAGGCTGCTGCGAGCAGGGTTTTCCAGGATGATGTGGACGCCGCAGCGCGCCGCGACCCGCAGGACCTTGGCGGTGAAGGTCTTGCAAGCGGTGGTGGGATGGCCTCCGACCCCTGTGGTGCGGGCCGGCACCCATCCCGTGCAAGGAGTGCCAAGCAAGATGCACCACACCAACCCGCCAGTGATCCAGGCCAGGATCTCGCGCTGCACTCGTGGGTCCAGGAGGTCATGATGAGGCCCATGAACTCGATCGACAGGTACCGCGGTGCGCAGGCCCTCCTGCGCGGCGGCGGCGGTGGCCGCACCACAGCCGGAGTAGAGCTCCAGGAACGCCGGCCGCGAGGCAGGCCAGGAGGAGCGCCCGCGGGCGCCAGAGTCAGCGGGCGGCCGCGGCGGCCGCGGCGGGGGAGCCGGGCAGGGGGTTGTGACTTTGGAGGGCTGAATCCTCCCTCCCCTGCCCGGCGAGCGGGCCCCCCTGGCGGCCAGCGCCGCGGGCTGTCGGCCTCCGGCGACCGCGGCCTCCCCGCGAGGGCGCCCAGGGGGCGCAGCTGGCTCGGCCGCCTCTGCCTGCCATCCTGGCCCCACGGCGGCGGCCAAGGGCAGCTGGCGGAGGAGCGCCCCCGGCGCGCGGCGCCCGAAAGGCACCAGGCCCCGCCCGGCCAGGCGGGAATCGAAGTCCGACGGGTTGCGCTCGGTCTCCACGTAGCGCCGGTGCCAGGTGATGCCCGCGCCGATCTGAAGGGCGCACGCGCGGCGTGTGAGAGCAAGCAGCTCCTTGTCCCTCGCTCGACCCCGATCAAACGCCAGGATCTCCGACAGGTTGTCGCCGAAGGAGACGAGGTGGCACCCGTGCGACCGGGCGTCGCGCGCCTCGCGGTCGAGGCCGAGGAGGGCCGCCCGGGCCTCCTTGCAGTGGATCGCCGCCGGGCGCCGCCAGGAGCCCACGGCCCCACGGCGCCAGCGGCTGGGCCGCGCCCACTCCGCTGCGATCGGAGGCACCAGGCCCACCCGCTCTCGGAAGTCGCGGGGCGGGCGGCGGGAGCGGGGATCACCAGCCTGCAGCGGGGCCTCGCTGGGCAGCGGCTGCAGCGAGCCGGCGACCCAGCGGGAGAAGGCCCCCTCGGGCAAGAGGGGGGCGACTTCGGCCCCGCGGATGGCCGCGGTTGTCGCTGCGGGCCCGCCATCGTCGTCCACGAAGCGCCACCGCTCGCGCCAGACGGCCTCCCGCCAGAGGCTGGCGGGGTCCGCGGCGGTGAAGTGGAAGGCGTACCCTTCGGTGGAGGCGTCGCTGCAGTAGGCTCGGCCGAGCATCTCGCCCGCGATGTCGACGTGCGCGAAGAGGCACAGGCCGCGGGCGACAGCCAGCTCGGCGAGAGCCCCCTCCGGCAGCGGTCGCACCGCGGAGCCCCCCTTGCCGACGAACCGGTAGCACTCGCCGAGCACCGAGAGGAGGCACCTGCGCAGACAGAACTGATGGCAAAGGTGCCCCAAGAGGCGGTGCATGTGGTCCGGGGAGATGGCCTTGACCTGGAGCAACGTGCCGAGCCCATACCAAAGCCTCCACGATCGTCGGGAGGTGGGGCGGATCCAAGAGCGGCGCCCGTCGAAGTGCAGGCCAAGCGCCTCGAAGTCCAAGCACGGGTCGACGCGCTCGTGCACCGCGAGGCCCGCCTCCTCCAGCTCGTGGACCACGGCGGAGAGGAGGCGGGCGACGGAGGCCTTGTCACCCCCGATGACGTTGGCGTTGTCGACGTAGGGGGCGCAGATCGCTGTCCCAGCGGCCAGCGGCGGGGGCGGCTCCCTATCCCCCAAGAGGTGCTCGGGAAGCCCCAGCGACCGCTGCGCCCGACGGCAGGCCTCGGACACGGCGCTGTGGCAGAAGAACAGCGCCCAGCTCCAGCCCATAGGCAAGCCCGCGAAGCACGCCTCCAGGAGGGTGTCCTCGGCGACGGCCACGTCGCGCCCGAGGTCGGGGTCAAACGCAGTCTCCACCCCCAGCGCCCCCGCGGTGTCCTGGAGCCCCAGGCCGAAGTAGTGCGAGACCGTCGGCACCAGGAACTGATAGAAGCCGTCCTGGAGGTCGATGGAGCCTCCCCACAGCTCCTTGGAGCGGCATGCGCCCCGAGGCGGGGCGGGCTGAGCCGTGCCATCAGCTCCGGCAGCGTCCAGGGCGGCAGCGGCCACATAGCCCGGGTCGTGGATGAGCGACCCCACGGCCCCAGTGGTGGCCAGCTTGGTGTAGGGCGCCCGGCGGTGGACAGCGTTCGCCAGCCTCGCATCGAGGACGAGGCGGAGCTGCCCAGACTTCTTCTTGACAAAGAACATCCCGCAGCGGGCGGCGACCCTCGTCCTGTAGCAGATGAGGCCGCAGTCGGCGAGCCTCTGCACGAAGTCGCGGAGGAGGCGGGGGTTCGAAGCCAGACGCCGATCCCAGTGGGGACGAACAGGCTCGACTCCCTCCAGCTGGGCATCCCCCAGCGCGATGAGTGACGGGTCGGCAAGGTAGCGGGCCGCGTCGGCGCCCACCAGCAGCCGGGCGTCCTTCGGGCGCAGCCGCTTGGAGGTGACGGAGACGCGGTCTGGGTCGTAGGGCGCCGCGGCCAAGGGAACGTCCGTGTCGTAGAGGTCCTTTGCCTTGAGGAGCTCCGGCAGGGCGCCGGAGGGGAAGAGGTCGAACTCGAGTGGCCTCGGGCCCGCGGCAAGGGCCACGTCCGCGAGGCGCCTCCACGTCGCGAGCTGGGCGTCAGACAGCTCCCGCCCGTGGGGAAGGCGGCTGGGCCACACCGGCCTGGGCAGCCCACGGGCGCGCGCGGCTGCCAGAGCGTTAAGAGCGGCGGCGGCATCAAGCTGCAACGCGCCCACTGCGCCGGGCTCCACGAGCTCCCGTCCCGACGCTGAGCCGGGCAAGGAAAAGAATGACTTGGGCCGCGGGAGCGGGAACAGTCCACACTGCCAGCGGGAAGCACCACGGCGATCCATCCGAGCAGCAGCAGCACCACTGCGAGGCGGAGGGCCAGGCGCGAGGGGGAGGGCCTCGATGGCCCTACTCGTTGTCCTTGCCGCCCTTCTTGCGGCCGCTCTCCTCGGCGTAGAGACGCTGCTGTTTCAGCGTGAAGGCCTCCGTCTTCTGCTCGTCGGCGATGAAGCGGGCGAAGTCCCCGACCGCCAGGGTGGCGCCGCTGTCGAGGCGGCTGTGGATCATCATCTCGAGGCCCCGGAAGTCGGGGTTCTTGGGCGACTTCTTGACTGCGCGCTCGATGTAGAGTACCCGCCGAGCCAGCATCTCCATCGCAGCACTCTGGAAGATCTCGAGCTGGTCGAAGCAGAGCGCGTGGTGCAGCACGGACACGAGGCTCTGGTGATGCTTGGCCACGCCAGCCTCGGCGCTGACCCCAGACGACCTGGCCCACGCAGAGTGGTAGCTCTCCAGGGACTCTCCTGAGGCGCGGATCCCGCGCAGCAGCTCGAGCGAGGCCGAGGGCCCGCGGAAGGGCCAGTCCTTGGCCTCGGCGGTCGTCATCCCGTCGCGGCCCGTCTTCACAGGGAGCTCCGAGAGAGAGGCCAGGCCCTCCTTGAAGTCGAGGTAGCGGGCGTCCTGCGCGTCGCGGCTGATGGCGAGCACGCGGGGGTCGCGGCCGGCACCTGTCTGCTTCTCCTCCTTCCAGGCTGCCAGGTCGCCGGGCAGCAGCCTCTCGACCGCCACCCACCTCTGGTCGTCCATCCTGGCGAGCCCCGTGTGACCCCGGGAGACGAAGCGCGCGGGGTTGGAGGTGACGGCGACCTCGACGGCGGTGCCGAAGTCTTCGTCGGCGGGGTCGGCAACGTACCAGACGGCCGCCGAGGCCCCAGCCGCAGGCGCAGCTCCACCCAAGATGCTCGCCAGCGCGTGCGCCTGCTGCATCAGGCCCGCCAGCTCGTCCTCCCCCAACGGGTCGAAACCGAAGAAGTTCCCCCGCAGGCGAGGCGGGATGGGGCACCCCCGCACCAGCGGCACGATGCGCGACGTGGAGAGGTTCCGCACTTGGACATCGTGGGTTGGAGTCGCATACACCCACCGCCCGTCGTCCCCGATCTTGACCAGGAGGATGCGGTGGTGCCACCTGAAGTTCGGGTCGTCGTCGAACGCCTCGGCAATCTGCTGCTGCTCGATGTCGAGGGCCTGCGGGACGGCGGCCATCAGCGGCGACGCCGCGGCACCCAAACGTCAGGCTCGTCGAGAGCAGCCAGACCAGCACCCCCAGCGTCGCGGTCGCCCAGCGCCAGCGGCGGTGGCGCCGCACGGCCTGCGGCCAGGGCGGAGGGCGTGGCGGGGCCCCCGAACGAGGCCCCGGCCGTCGCCGTGCCGACCCAGCGGCCGTGGCACCACAGGCGGCAGGCCGCTGCGAGACCCAAGGCGAGGGTCGCAGCAGCCAGAGCGGCGGCCCACACCGCCGACGTAGCCCAGCCGCAGGTGCAGGCGGGGCAGGCGGCCGCCGCCGGGCAGGCGGCCGGCGAGGGGCAGACCGCCTCGGGGCAGACCGCCGCCGGGCAGACGCACGCCGGGCAGGGCACCGCCGGCGGGCAGGTCAGCGTGGGGCAAGCAGGCGCCGGGCAGGCGCAAGGCGGGCAGTCGAGGACGTGCCCGCAGGAGCCCTGCCCAGCAGCCTCGGGCCCGGCCCACCAGCCGCCGCTGAGGCCACCGAGGAACGCCGCGATCGCGGCGGCAGGGGCGCCGAGCGGGCCGGGCCCTCCCATCCCAAGCCAGAAAAGCTGCAGAGGACTCCGATGCGGACAGTGATAATGTGTCACACTTTCAATCATCATCATCATCATCATCATCATCATCATCATCATCATCATCATCATCATCATCATCATCATCATCATCATCATCATCATCATCATCATCATCATCATCAGCATCAGCAGCATCAGCAGCATCAGCATCAGCATCAGCATCAGCATCAGCATCAGCATCAGCATAAGCATAAGCATCATCATCAGCATCATCATCAGCATCATCATAATCATCATCAGCAGCAGCATCGTCGTCATCGTGGTCATCATCATCCGCATCACCACTGCTATCATTATCATGATTACCAGCATTACGTTGGGCGCCAGCTTCGCCTCCCACATCTCTCTGAGCACTGACAGCGCGTGTTGCCACTGCCCGCCTTTACTGCACGCGCCGACAGTCGCCATGTAGTGGCTTGGGTCGAGCTGCGCACCCAATCGAATCCCTTCGCGGAGCAACTGCAATGCTGCGCTCCATTGTTTTGCCCGACCGCAATTCTTGATCGACGTGTCGAAAGAAAACGTAATGCCTTGTCGAGAGCCTCGGCCGATGTCCAGCATCCGAGAAGAAATCCAGCAAGCCACTTCATCGCGGCTGGTTCGGCCCCAAATCAATTGAGCCAGAATGGCCCGAGCCTCCTTCTCCTTCTCGTTCTCCTCCTCATCCACGCCCCTCAACTCGTACCTGATCTCATACACCTCATTCTTCTCCTGCTTCTCCGCAACCTAATCAGCGAGGGGGCCGACTGGTCATTCATTGCCCCTTGGTGCGTGACCGAAGTGGCGTTCTGTCCGGCGGATTCCACTTGTTGTATTGTTGCGTTGTCGTCGTCCTCGCCAACGATCCGCCCGCGACCCGAAGCGACCCATCCCGAGACGCCTCCCGCGACGCACCACGCGACCCACCCGCGACCCACCTGCGACCCACCCCGCGCCCGCCCCCTCACTCCTATCCGCACCTGCGGCGTTCTGCGTAGTTGTTCTGCCGCTGCCCATCTCCCTCCTCCTCGTTCTCCCCCCGGTCATCCTCATCCTCGACACGTTCTCCTCCTCATCCTCCTCTTTCTCGACTCCGTCCTCCTCCTCCTCCTCCTCCTCCTCCTCCTCCTCCTCCTCCTCCTCCTCCTCCTCCTCCTCCTCCTCCCCATGATCCTCACCCCCGAACCCCTCAGAAACTCCTGAGACCCAAAAACCCACCACGCCACCCCCTCCGATCGTCTGAAAACATGTTGGACGACCTCCCCCCTCGTCCTGGTCTGCCGTGCAGGAGTGCGGGCCTTGCCAGAAACGGGGCCTGGATACCGGGGCCCTCCCCTGTGGGACTAGCGGGACCAGCTTTTCGTGCGGAGTCGTCTGGTGGACGCTTCCGGGCTCCCCGGGCCCAGAAACAGCCCCCTAGATGTAGGTCGGGCATGTCCCACTAGAGGCGGATTTTGGAGGGAAAGAATCAAAACAAATTCACAGATTGCACAGAATAGTAGAAACATCGTCTCCATACTATTGTTTGACTACTCTTACCGATTCCTCCTGTAGAAGGACATGCCCGATTTAATCCTTTATACGGAGAGCAACGAGAAGCCTCAGGACCCCCTCTCCCCAAGGACAGCACTCGCCATCGCTGGGACGGTCCATTCCCCGTGCGTTTTCGGTTTCGTGGGTTTATGTTTCGCACAATGGTCCAGGATGCTTCTCGATAGTCCTCGCCGAAAAAAGGCACACGTCCGAGCGACGCAGCGAGAAGCCTCAGGAATCCCTTTCCCCCCAGGCACATCAGAAGAAGCAGAGCAGAACGAAGGAGCGCAGCAAGCGGGAGAACACCAGCAGACTGGAGAACCGCAACAAGCGCGAAAACAACAGCCCCCCTTCACCCATCCCCTCCGTCATCTGAGTAGGTGGCCACATGTGAACCATACCCCCACCCCCCACGATCTTAAGGGGGGGGTCACTCCACTCGGGAGCTCCCAAACGAAGTGAAACCCGGTCCCCCCTTAGGAATCGTGGGGGGTGGGGGTAAGGTTCGCATGTGGGCACCGACCGACTGAGAGTCCACGGGTATCTCTGAGAGCTGGCGCGTCTGAGGTTGTATCGGCCACCGCAGCCATTATCGAGCGTTCCGGAATGCCCTGCGTGTTGTTTCTCTGCGAGCGTTCCGGAACGCTCTGAAGCGGTTGACCCTCATCCTACAAAGAAGTCAAACTAATGAAAGCTGGGAGCCCCGCGAAAATGGAAGTGTCCAGGGCAGGAAGACTGGCGGGACGACGAGAAAAGCACGAGACGAGTGTAATGAGGCCACCAGAGACGGACAGCACCAGAGGAAAAACAGCCAGAGATGGAAAAGGAGTGGAAGGGCTGGACCCGGCCACTCTTCCTGGCCTCCCTGAAAGCCTGCCTCATATTACGGATGAAACAAACGTATCCTGAGGAAAACTGGTCACCCTCCTCTCCCTCCTCCTCGTCCTCCTCCTCCCCCGCCTCCTCCTCCACCGCATCCTCCCGCTCGTCTCCCTGCTCCTCATCCTCCTCCTCCTCCTCCTCCTTCTCCTCCTCCTCCTCCTACTCGTCTTCCTCCTCCTCCTCCTCCTCCTCGTCCTCCTCCTCCTCCTCCTCCTCCTCCTCCTCCTCATACTCCTCCTCCTCCTCCTCCTCCCCTCCTCCCTCCTCCCCTCCCTCCTCCCTCCCTCCTCCTCCTCCTCCCTCCTCCTCGTCCTCCTCCTCCTCCCTTCCCCTGATGACGGCCTGGGAATGTCCGACCCCCCCCCGCGTACTGTTTTTTTACACAGATTTCCCCGGAATTGGGTTTTCGCCTGCATTTTTTCAAAATGCTGCTCTCGCTGAGGCGCCGGCCTCATTTTCGGGCCCCGCTCGTTCCGAATCGTGCTCCCGCTGCAGCGCTGGCCTCATTTCCGTGCTTCCGTTCGTTCCGAATCGTGCTCCCGCTGCAGCGCTGGCCTCATGTCCGCGCTTCCGCTCGTTTCGACTCCTGCTCCCGCTGCAGCGCTGGCGTCATTTCCCGTGCCATGCCACGGCATGCACTGCAATGCTAGGTTGATACTACGCTTTGCGGTGCTCTTCTACGCCATGCCATGCCGTGCTCTACAATGCATCGCGTACCCATCATTGCCCTGCTCGACATCCGACTGAGCGAGTAGAGAGGGGATCTGCGCCATGGTAAGGTATGGGAGGGAGGGGTATGATGTCAGATATGACGCGAGCGCACCTAGCTTGCCCTCCTCCCCCTCCCCCTCCTCCTCCTCCTCCTCCTCCTCCTCCTCCTCCTCCTCCTCCTCCTCTCCTCCTCCTCCTCCTTTTTTCGTGCGCGTGCTCGAGGCACCCTCTCCCCCGCCCTGCCCCAGCCGCCCACCGGCACGCCGGACAGGGCGACCACGAGGAAGGGCCCGCCCTCCGGCAGGGCCGCGTCCAGCGCGAGGCAGAGCACGCTGGGGTACCTGCGGAGGTGCCAAGAGAAGGAGGAGGAGGAGGAGGCGGAGGAGGAGGAGGAGGAGGAGGAGGAGGCGGAGGAGGACAAGGAGGAGGAGGAGGCGGAGGAGGAGGAGGAGGAGGAGGAGGAGGAGGAGGCAAGGGTGTTTCTCTATCTTCGGCCTCCAGGGGGCCCTCCCCAGGCCTCAAAGCCGTCAAAAGACGACTCGGGGTGAAGCACTGATCCCCAGGAAGGCGGCCAGACCTCGGGGGACCCACGTCATGATGCAGTCTCGACGGCGGAGGGCCTGGGGAGCCGCGAACGCTGTCCGTAGTCCACTCCCTCGCGGTCTGGATTTCCAGGGCGCGATCCCGTGGACACGCGACCGCACGGACGCGCTCCGCGCGGGGCACTCGCGAGGAGACGCCCCGCACCCACGGGGCCATGCTCTCGCGCCGTGGAGACGGGGCGCGCTCTCTCGAGCCGCGGTGCCCTCCGAAATCTCTCCGGGGCCCCAAAGCCGTGTGCTGACGGATCGCGTGGGGACCTCGGAATCCCCGACGACCTCGACGCTCCGTCACCACACGGTGACGCTCGGGATCCCCGGCGGACCTCCCCGACGACCTCGACGCTCGACCTCGACCTTGGGATCCTGGAGGCCCCGGTCGCCCGAGACGTCCCTGGAGAAAGGCCCGAGTCCCAAAACAGTGCGTCGGCAGCGACTCCGCACTGACTCACCACGCGGTGTGGTGACCACAACGCTTGGCGGCCTCCGGATCTCCGGCACTGCACCTTTTGAGCCCGATTCCCTATTCTTCGAGATAACGCCCGTGACCGTCTCCGCCCTCCCCCTCCCCCTGGGTCACGTCACGATTCGTGCCGGCGCTGGGTGGGACCATTCCGACGCCTTCCCAGACAGCGGCGGCGCGAACCGTGACGTGACCCACCCCCTCGCCCTGTCCCCCTACCCCCCTCCGTCATCCCCCCCCTTCCCTAGGTGCCTCCTAGGTGGGGTCGTAGTAGATCGGGTCGGAGGATCGCGCCGCATCGCAAATGCACCGCCGATGCATCGTCGATGCATCGGCCGACGCATCGGCGACGCCAGCATGGCGAAAACCGGGCGCCACATCGAGCCGCATCGCCGATGTATCAGCGATGCGGCGCGATCCTCCGACCCCATCTGCTCCGACCCCATCTAGGAGGCCTAGACTCCCCCTCCTTCTCCCCCGTCGCCAGGGGGAAGGCACGGTGGGCTTGTGTTCCGCCGCCGCCACCATAAGTAGGAGGGGGAGGGGATCCTCCTCCTCCTCCTCCTCCTCCTCCTCCTCCTCCTCCTCCTCCTCATTCTCCTCCTCTCTTCGTCCTCCCCCCACCTCATTCTCACACGTCGCCGTCGCCAGGGGATGACACAAAAAACGGTCCCCTTTCCTGCCCACGACGACGCGCCCCTGGAGCCCCTCAGCACCAAAACCCCGAGGCAGCCGACCGCGGAGCGCTCCCGTAACACCTCTGGGGACCGCGCGGGAGAGCGCTCCGCCCGCCGAGCCTCTCTCGGGCGGCGACGAGGAGGGAGGCGGAGGAGGAGGAGGAGGAGGAGGAGGAGGAGGAGGAGGAGGAGGAGGAAGAGGAGAAGGGGAGGGAGGAGGAGGAGGAGGAGGAGGAGGAGGAGGAGAAAAAAAAGGGAGGGAGGGAGGGATGCAGGGAGGGAGGGAGGGAGGGAGAGAGGAAGAGGAGGAGGAGGAGGAGGAGGAGGAGGAGGAGGAGGAGGAGGAGGAGGGGGCGGAGGAGGGGGAGGAGGAGGAGGAGGAGGAGGAGGAGGAGGAGGAGGAGGAGGAGGAGGGGGAGGAAGGAGGGAGGAAGGGGAGGAGGGCGACGGCTGGAGGAGTCAAACAAGGAACCGAGGTCTATTCACCACCGCTCTTCTCAGGCCATGCACTGAGATTTGCCCAGGAAAGCGGATCCTTGTGTATACGGGATCCTGGTGTATACATGTTTCGTTGTTTCCCCGGGAAAACGGGGAAAACAAGTATACACCGCACCACCCCGACGTCGTCCCCGACCCTCAGAAAGCCCTCGGATTGAAAAACAGCCCGCCACTGGCAATGTATTTGTTACAGCTTCCGAATCAAAACTTCGCCTTGCACCTGGAACGGATGAGCTTCTAAAAAAGTAACGCTTTCCTGGGGGGAGGAGCGGGCAGGCTGCCATTGTGCCCAGCGCAACCAGGCTGCCAGCAAGCCGAAAACGGCCGAACAGACACACGATCAGACTGCCATAAAGCCTGTCGGTTGGTTGGCTGTCTACCTCCAGGGGGCTGCCTTCCCGAGGGGGAACGATAGGCGGGATCTGGCTCAGGGGTGGGGGGGGAACATCAACCTGGAACCGGCGACACATCGCCGATGGCGAAAATCGGCGACAGGACCTCGCCAGCAAAGCCGCACGGTCCTGGATCGGGCGCGCCGTCGGGGCCCAATCGGCTCAGAGGGAGGAGTGCGTCGACCCCCAATGAGGAGCTGGGGGTCGACGCACTCCTCCCTCTGAGCTTGCCACCCCCCCCAGAATTGCCCCTGGCTTCAGTTCCGCCCGCCCTTCAACCCTGCCCGTCGGCGTCCGCGAAGGAACACCCCGACACCGCCCGCACCCCGCCCGTGGCCGGTCGGGCACCCGCACACCAGCACCCCGGAGCTGCCAGCCGAGAGGCTGGTGCGCAGCAACGCGCCCGCCTCCCTCACCAGCGTGCTCCAAGGCACGCCGCCGAGCCTCTCGCGAGGAGGAGGGGGCGGAGGAGGGAGGAGGGAGGAGGAGGAGGAGGAGGAGGAGGAGGAGGAGGAGGAGGAGGAGGAGGAGGAGGAGAAGGAGGAGGAGGAGGAGGAGGAGGAGGAGGCGGAGGAGGAGGAGGAGGGGGAGCGGGACAACGATGAAAGGGGAGGTGGTGCTCGCGGGCGTCAAATCACAATCGCCCCCCCCGCCCCCCTCGGGGACGGTTGTACAAACAGGGAGCGACAGAGACAACGGCGTTCGGGTCGAGAGGCCTAACGGAATCATTCCACGAACCTGCGCTGCAGGGTGGGACGAAGTCCCAGGAAACAGACACGACGACGATCGAGAAGAAAAGCGAATGGGGAGGGCGACGAGCAGAGGGGAGGAAAGAAAGGGCAGGGGACGCCTAAAGTGCTTCAAGGGGAAGCAGAGAAGTTGGCCTCAAACAATTATTTCCTACCCTATATTTACTCTAGAGCACTAGACCTAAGAAAAGGATGGGGATATATAGAATGGTTGTTCCGATGGTCGTCCCGAGGATCAATCAATAATGGCATCAACCGGTCGATTGATGCTGGGACCGAACAATAGATAGCAGCCCCAGTACATAGTGAGACTGATGCTTCGACCCAAAAATCTAGCAGGGTTATCCCGATGATTGTCCCCATACGTGTCCCGATGGTTGCGCCAGCGGCTGCTTCACTAGATAGGTAGGGGAACTGGCAGATCGATGATAGTGATACAAGCATGTGGACAGGATCTGTAAATTTATGTGTGCAAAGATAGGCATGTACAAAGCAAACTGAAAGGTTCTTCCGATGGCGGGTGGTTCTCCCGGCAGCCAGATACAAACATCGACGGATATAAAGACAGCCTGGCCTTACTGATAGCGGTAATATTAGAACAATAGACGAATGCATAGATGGGCAAGAGCGCGTTTCACGGGCGTTTGCCGTGGGAACGTTCGGCGGCGCGTTTCGATCCGGGTGGTGCCCCCCCCAACACTCGGCGCCGTCGATCAGAACCAGGGGGACTCCCCTTCCCCCTAGCCCGCCCCCCCTCCCGAACCCCGCCCCCCCCCATCCCAAGGGGGGGGGTCCAAATCCCCCCCCTCCCTCCCCCCCTTCGGCGCGGGCGCCGGTGCTGGCGCCCGCCAGCAGCGCCGACGGCGGGGACGCCGCGACGATGACCAGAGAGGGCCCAGGGGAGGGGGGGGGTCCAAACCCCCCCCCGCGCCGCGCCGGCGCCGGCGCTGGCGCTGGCGCTGGCGGCGGCCAACAACGCCGACGGCGGGGACGCAGCGACGATTACCAGAGAGAACCCAGAGGGCCGCAGAGGGAACACACAAATCGCCATATCGAGCCCTCGCCCCCCGAAAGCCACCGAAGGGCCCTGAGGAAGGTCAGCGAGGCTTCATACATCCTCCTCAGACGCCCCCGAGACCCTTCTGACGAGACCTCAAAACTCTGACCCAAAGCCAAAACGCGGTGGAGGGAAGAACCGAAGGCCACACCACCACCACCACAAACCACCACGCCACCACCACCACCACCACCGCCACCACCACCACCACCACCACAACCACAACCACCACCCACCACCACAACCACCACCATCACCACAAACCACAACACCACCACCACCAAAAACGCCACCACCACCAGCACCACCACAACCCAACCCACCACAACCCACCACAACCCACCACAACCCACCACAACCCACCACAACCACCATAACCACAAACCACCACACCATTACCACCACCATCGCCACCACCGCTACCACCACAACCATCACCACGACCCAACCCCACCACCACAAACCACCATACCACCACCACCACAACCATCACCACCACCACCCACCACCCATCACCCAACACCACCACCAGCGCCGCTACCAGCAGCACCACCTCCACCACCAACACCACAGCCCACCACCACCACCACCACCACAAACCACCACGCCACCACCACCGCCGCCACGACCACTACCACCACCACCACCTCAACACAACACCACCACCGCCAACCCTCCACACAACTCACAACCGCCACCACCACAACAACCCACCACCGCTACCACCATCACCACCACTATCTACCACACCACCACCACCACCACCACCACCGCCTTAACCACCACCACTACAAGCAGAACAACCCACCACCACCGCCACCACAAACCACCACACCACCATCACCACCGCAACCACCACCACCACCAGCACCACCTCCAAAAACCACCGCCACCACCACCGCCACCACCACCGCCACCACCACCGCCACCACCACCACAAACCACCACATCACAACCACCACCACCACCGCCACCACCACCGCCACCACAACCCACCACCACCACCACAAACCACCACCACCACACCATCAAACCACCACCACAAACCACCACCACCACAACAACCACCCACCACCACAGACACCAGCACCAACACAACCACCAGCACCGCCACAACCACCACCACCGCCACCACCGCAACCACCACCACCGCCACAAACACCACCACCACAACAAACCACCACTACAACCACCACAACCACCACCACCGCCACCACCACCACCACCACAACGCCACGCAATGCAGCCCAGCGTGTTGGTGGCCGAGGTTGTGGGCGCTGCCGTGGCCGCTGGTCCGGAACAGGGTGAAGTACGCCTCGTACTTGAACTCCGACGGATTAAAGTTGGTATTGTACACGATGAACACCTTGTCGTGCGCGCCAGAGACCTCGACCGTCACGGAGAGGCCAGGGACCTCGGTCCACGTGTCCTCGGCGACACTGGCCGGCCCCGAGCACCTGGAAGGCCCAGTCGCAATCGAGCCTGGCAGGCGTATGAGGGACAGCTGGCGGTCGTCGTCGTCCAGCTGGCACACGGCGGTCGCGTGCTCCTCGCTCGTGACGGCCGCTTTCACTTGCGAGCGTTTTCTTATTCGGCGGTTCGACATTGGGCGGAAGAGGGGGGGGCGGGGGCCTGGCTCCAGACCGCTGCGCGATGCGGCCATGTGCAACAGTGCGTCTTGTGGGGGCGACCTCACCTGCCTGCGGCAAGCGCCACAACCAGCCAAGATCCTCTCCTTGGAGGAGGGGCGAGGGCCCGCGCCGGTCGGCAAAAGAAGGAACAAGAGAACGATCACCTTAGTACAGGTGAGGCCCAGGATCTGGGTCGTCGACCAGCGCGACCACCATCGCGCGCCTGGCGTCCTTCTGCAGCGAGCGGACGGACTGCAGCCCATAGCTGCCTGGGTCGAGGCCCTTGCCGTCCCGCAGGATCGTGAACCTCCCGCGGGCGCCCTCGTCGGCCCACAGGGCCGTGTACTTCACGGTGCAGACGACCAGGACCTTCTCCCCGGGATTCGTCACCGAGATCTGCTGCAGCCCCAGCACGTCGTGCCAGCGCCCCGGGCGGACGGTGCACACCTCGTGGCTGCGGGCGGTGGTGACCTGCCCGCCGGGAATGGTGACGGCAGTGAGCGCCCTGCGTGTTTCGTCCTTGCTGAGCTGGAAAGAGCCCTTCAGCAGGCAGTGCACGCTGTAGACTAGCTCCATCCGCGCCCTGCCAGGCTCGTCTAGCCAGGGCATCAGCACGCCCTCCGTTTGCCCTAGCGAGTGCGTCCAGTTCACGAAGTGCGGCCCGACCAGGTAGGAGCCGCGCTTCAGGGTCCAGGCAATGCCGTCGTGGTTGTCCTGCATACTGGCGGGCAGGTTGCAGATCAAAAGGACCATGTTCGTGCTCTCCACCGTCTTCACGGCCACGCGCAGACCCTTGACGGGAAGGTAGCCCTCGGTCTCGATGGCGGCGAGGTCGGCCCTGTGCTGCACCTCGACGAGGTTGCATCTCCCGGTGCGCCACGACGAGGTCTCCGCGGGCCAGGTCCCTCTGGTAGAACTCCTTCGGGTACTCGGGATCGTTGGCGGACTTCTTCTCCTGCTCCCTCAGGGGCCTCCCAAATGGGGTCCGAGTGGGTGGGGTCGGTGGACCGCGCCGCATCGCCGAGGCATCGCCGATGCATCGGCGATGCGTCGGCGATGCGTCGGCGATGCATCGGAAACGCCGGCGTGGAGAAAGCCCGCCTCAGCATCGAGCTGCATCCCCGATGCATCGGCGATGCGGCCCAGACGACATCTGGCCGCTACGATGCATCGACATCGGCGATGCGGCCCAGACGACATCTGGACATCTGCATCGGCGATGCGGCCCAGACGACATCGATGCATCCCCGATGCATCGACATCTGGCCGCCACGATTTGTTCGATTCGTGGGCCCTGCATGAAGGTGCGGACCACTTCCCCAGGGCCGGTCTTCCGTCCTGTTGACGGCCCAAAAGCCCGGCGAGGGGTCCCCGGAGGCCGCAAACGGCCAAAGACCCACCGCTCCAACTTTTCTGGAGCGTCGGACCTCTGGGGCGCGATCCACCAACCCCATCTACAGCCGAGCCGTACTATAAGGATGCACGGCAGAAGGATGCAAAAGAGCCTTGGAAGGTCACGTCGAAGCTCTTCGAGCGGGGCGCGGCCTGCGAAAGTGGCCAAGGTCATGTTGTGCCCATCGTGCTTGAGGACGAGATCCCAAAGATACATTCGAGCACCCCGAGAAGCATCGCAGCAGTGTCCTCCCGACAGGCCGGCGAAGCGCCGCACAAGCATCGCCTCCCAGGGCCCGGTACGGAAACACCCTGAAGTTTCGATACCTCCTTGGTGCTCGCAGTTATTTCTGACGATCAAGACTAAAGTAGGTTGGAACATCGTAAGACCATCGGGCCGGGCGAAAGATGGGGATAGCAAAGGGGGAGTTAGAGAATCAGCTCACGTAGCTGATTTTCCCGGCGCCTCCCGGCGCAGGAGGCGGCTATATGTATCGAGGAATGGGCCCCTCGGTGGGGCCGAAACCAGCTGCATGCAGCAGATTTCGCAACCCCTTTTTCTCAATCCCCCCCTGTCGTCTGGCCCGAGACCATGGATGGACCGAGGAGGCCAGGATGCCAGGGTACCCTTGGGAAGCTTGCCCATCCTTCTGCGGGCTGACTGTATGGCTGGACCCCCTCTGGGAGGACAGGTGCCCCGCTCGTGGGTGGCCCCCCACTCCCTGGCCCTGGGGGCCCGGGGGCGGGCCTGGCTGGGAGCCGCTCGAGGCCCCGCCTCGGGGGTCCTCCGGCCTCCCACGATGGGCCACTCTTCCACCGCTCTCCCACCACATGCAGGCAGGCCTCCTCCTGCTCCTCCTCCTCCTCCTCCTCCTCCTCCTCCTCCTCCTCCTCCTCCTCCTCCTCCCCCTCCTCCTCCTGGGCGGCGCGGCGCGCGGCGCTGCGGGCGCCTCCACCTGCTCGCCGGCGCCCCCCCGGCCGGCGGCGCCCGTGCCGTGCCCCGCCAGCCCCGTGCCCGCGATCTGGCCCCACACGTTGGCCTGCCCGATGGCGCCGAGCGTTCGCCTGGGCCGATGGGCCGACTCTCCACCACCACTGGCATAGGCAGGAGAGGCAGGAGAGGGAGGAGGAGGAGGAGGAGGAGGAGGAGGAGGAGGAGGAGGAGGAGGAGGAGGAGGAGGAGGAGGAGGAGGAGGAGGAGAGGAAGGAGAGGAGAGGAGAGGAGGAGGAGGAGGAGGAGGGAGGAGGAGAGGAGGAGGAGAGGACCTCCCCATCCTCCCTTCTCCTGCGGAGGACGAGAGGGGAGGAGGAGGGGGAGGAGGAGGAGGAGGAGAGAAGAGGGGAGAGGAGGAGAGGAGGAGGAGGACGACGGAGAGGAAGAGGGGGAGGAGGAGGGGAGGAGGAGGAGGAGGAGGAGGAGGAGAGGAGGAGGAGGGAGGAGGAGGAGCAGGAGGACGATGAGGAGGAGGAGCCTCCTCCTCTCCTCCTCCGCAGGAGGAGGAGGAGGGGGAGGAGGACGAGGAGGAGGAGGAGGACGGAGGAGGAGGAGAGGAGGAGGAGGAGGAGGAAGGATGAGGAGGAGGACGAGGAGGAGGAGGAGGAGGAGGCCTGCCTGTGGTGGGGAGGAGAGGGGGCGAGGAGGAGGACGAGGAGAACGAGGAGGAGGACGAGGGGGAGGAGGACGAGGAGGACGAGGGGGAGAAGGACGAGGAGGAGGACGAGGAGGAGGAGAAGGAGGAGGAGGAGGACGAGGAGGAGGAGGAGGACGAGGAGGAGGAGGAGGACGAGGAGGAGGAGGAGGAAGAGGACGAGGAGGAGGAGGACGAGGAGGAGGCCTGCCTGTGGTGGGAGCGGTGGAAGAGTGGCCCATCACGGGAGGCTGGAGGCCCCCCGAGGCGCGGCCTCGAGCGGTTCCCGGCCAGGCCCGCCCCGGGCCTCCGGGGCCCGGGGGCGGGGGGCCACCCACAAGCCGGGCCAGGAACCCAGAGGTCCAACGCATCGAAAAAAGTCAAGACGGAGGTCTTTCGTATTTTTCGGCCTCGAAGGGCCCTCGCCGGGCCCCGGGACCGTCCAAAAACGACTCAGGATGAGAAACTGGTCCCGGGGAATGGGTCGAGACTTCTGGGGACTCCGTGTTAGAAAAACAGGACATTGGATTTTTGGGAAATCGGACGTGGCCGTGTGTTGCTCCCATCGTACTTAGGGGCCACATCCCAGAAATAGTTTTGAGCATCCGGAAAATTGTCGGAAGAGTGTCGAAACGGTGTCGAAACAGTGTCGGACGAGCGTCTCCCAGGGCCCGACACGTGCAAACCCTCGAGTTTCGGATGCTGTTTCTAGTGCTCCAAAACTCGCTCTGGGGATCACGGCTAAAGTAGGTCGGGGCATCAGAAGCGTGGCCCCGAGGTCGGCGGCGAGCGAGGGGGGGGAAACGAGAGGGAGAAGGCCGTCTCGGAAGGCGGCGGGGCTCCTCAGAAGCCCATGCAAGCCTCCTGAGAGGCTTTCTGTGGCTTCGGGGGAGGCTCCGAGGACGTCTCAGAAGGCCGGGGGGACTTGCGAGCCTTCTGAGCAGGCCCGCCCCTTCTCGCTTCCCCCCCTCGACTGCCGCCGAACATCTGGACGCCCGAAATGGGCACGGGAAACATGGGTACAATGCCCAACAACAAATGTTGTCCCAAACCAACAGCGGCCGCCGCTGTTGGGCAGGCGGCCTTCTGTCTCAAATGGAGACAGGCCGCGGCGGCGCGGACAGCGAGTCCTGTTCAAAATGATCAGGAACTGCTGCTGGGCATTGTGCCCATTCTTTCCGTACCCATCTCGCTCGTGCAGAGAACAGGAGTCCGCGCCCACGGTTCTCAGGGAGCCCTCCAAGTGGCCTCCAGGGCACTCCTCACGAGGCGCGGGTGGCCCCCCGGGGGCTCCAGGCTGACGCGCGAGCTGAGGGCACCCTGGGCCAGGGTCACCTCTGGCGACCTCCGAGGAAGGTCTGCGGCCCAGGGCCCAGGATAGGACTGCCCAGGGCTGGTGTTGGGCGTCGCTGGATGGGGGGGCGATGCATGGGGGGGGGGTCATCGGCCACACGTAAGAGTAACCCTGGGTAAGAGTGACCTTTGGTGCGCGGCTTTGGGGGGGGGGGGGCCAAATCCAGGCGCGCTAGCCGCTGCTACCGCTTCGCGTTCGGCCATCTGGGGGCCCATCTGTGCCCGCACCAAAGGTCACTCCGGCGAAAGGTCATTCTTACGTCTAGTCGAGGTCATTTGTCGGGCCCTGAAGGCCACTGGGCACTAAAGGGTCCATTTTCTGCAGCCCTCGGACCCCCCCTTCCAATTACGCGAGGCCCAAACTATGTCCGTTCTCCGGGCGCCGGAATGTGATGAGGTCATTGAGATAGCCGTTGACGGCGGCGTAGTCGGACGACCGGGACAGCCCCAGCAGCCCAGAGGTCGACGCGAAGACCTGGAAGAAGGTGATGCCCTGCGAGGCGCAGTTCTCCTGCTTCGCCCCCGTGCCATCCTCCGCGAGGAGCGCGGTCTGGATCACCCATTGCAGCAGACCGCTGCAAGATCTGCGCCGTGTCTGAAGCAACGGCGGCTGCAGAGAGGGGCGAGGAGCAGGAGGAGAAACACGATAGCCCTCCCAGGCGCGGATACGAGGGATGGGACGTTCTGGGCTCGAGAATCGACGAGCCTCCGCATAAGAAAAACAAGCCAAGGTATAATCCTTCTGCTGGCAAGGAAAAGACGACGCACGAAGAGAACGGGATAGGGGAGGATGGAGATGCGGAGACGAGGGGATAGAATAGAGGAGTTGACAGGAGAAGGCCTGGTCGGCGTCACATGTCTCGAAATCGATGCGAGGCGCAATGATGGAGGAGCAGATGCGATCGGACCCGGATGCAGGACCGCTCCCACCTTTGGGGGCTTGAGGTCCTCGCATGTGCGGCTGGCCACGCCCTCTGGGAATCTGGCAGCGTCTGCTCGCGCGTGGGTGCGACACCGCTGAGATGTCCGAGGCTGATCACTTTTTTACTCATATACGTCCCAGTGCAAGGCTGCGGCCCGCGCCCGCTTGGCCTCTCTGAGAAGGCGCTGGCAGTCCGGGCAGCAAACAGTTGAGTGGCAAGCAGCAGAACTATTGGACTGAAGTGGCGCTTGGCAGGCCGCGCGGAAAAATGAAGTTAGCCAGCCCCGCTGCGCGTGATCGGCGCACTCTCGGGGCAGCACCACCGTCGTTTCCACAGCCGCTCTCCCAGCTTGCCTATGCCTTCACCTCCTCTCCCGCCGCCAGAGAGCAGTCAAACATTCACACAAACCTAGCATCCGCTGGGAATCCTGGCACTGAACCATTTAGCGGCAGGCGCAATACACGATGCAAAGCACAGTGCACTGGTACCTTGGAAGTCGCTGGGCGCGATCACGAAGCAGGCGACTGGCACAAGTTCAGAACAACAGCGCTGGGGGCGGCCGCAAAACCGCAATCCTGGCCCTGATACTCATCATCCTCCTCACAATTGCATGTCTCAGCCCCCACCGCCACTCCAGGCGCCATAATGCTTCCGAACGAAATTATAATCAGTCCCCCCGCAAGTCTGCGGCCAGCGCCCGCTTGGCCTCTCTGAGAACGCTGGAAGTCCAAGCAGCAAGCGGTTGGGCGGCAGGCCAAATAAACATCGGGCTGAAGTGGCGCTTTGCAGGCCGCCTCAGGTGATCCCAGAGAAATTGATCGAGCCAGCAAAGCTGCACGTGGTCGGTGTGTTGTCAGGGTGGCACCAGCGGCGTTACCACAGCCGCTCCCCCGGCTTGCCTCTGCCTCCACCACCTCTCCCGCCGCCAACACTCCTCCTCCTCCTCTGAAGGGGAACTGGGACACACAAACACATACACACAAGTGACCAGACTCCCAATAGTTTCCCACATGTTCTGGGTTTTTGTCAAGCCCCCACTTCCCATATTTTCCCATATTCTCCTGGGGGTCGACTGTGAACTGTTTCTCTCCCCGCTTGAACCCCCCAGTTCTTTTAGCCGACGCTCACCAGAGGTTTGTCACAGAGCGGTGGCCTCTCGGGCCGAAAACGGAACAGATGAGTTCCACTGAACTTCCTGCCCCGTCTTGCCTCTCGCCAGCGCCGCCAGCCCCGAGCGGCCGATTTTCCCCCCGGAACCCGAGGCAGGGCCCTCGGAGGCCTTTGAATCCAGAAACCCTCCACGGGACACCAGACCGAGACCAGAGAAGGGCCGCCAGCAGCCCGAAGGGAAAAAAGGCGCTGGGTGAGGCAAGGCGTGACTGAGAGGGCAACGAAACTCCCAAGAGCGCTTTTCCTCCAATGAGGGCGGCTCGAGGGTGGGAGCACAAAGCTTCGGACGAGGCGGCGCGCGTCGTAAGCAGAATGGGGGGTGAGCGTGGCACGAAACAACACACATTAGGAACATGATATTATGTTTCTCTCCCCGCTTGAACCCCCCAGTTCTTTTAACCGACGCTCACCAGAGGTTTGTCACAGAGCGGTGGCCTCTCGGGCCGAAAACGGAGCAGATGAGTTCCACTGAACTTCCTGCCCCGTCTTGCCTCTCGCCAGCGCCGCCAGCCCCGAGCGGCCGATTCTCCCCCCGGAACCCGAGGCAGGGCCCTCGGAGGCCTTTGAATCCAGAAACCCTCCACGGGACACCAGACCGAGACCAGAGAAGGGCCGCCAGCAGCCCGAAAGGAAAAAAGGCACTGGGTGAGGCAAGGCGTGACTGAGAGGGCAACGAAACTCCCAAGAGCGCTCTTCCACGACTCCCTCTCTGGCGGTGCCGAAAAGACCTAGGCCACATCGTAGGCCAGCAAACTGCCAAGATAACAGAAAGTCTTTGATGGCATGCAGGTGAGAACTGCATCTCTGAAAGGGCCTGCTGACCTTCTGCTATGTATATACAAGCAGTGACTGAATCCTGCCATCTACCCTTCTCAAGGGTGGCAGGCATATTACGAGTTCTCACAAAATACGATGTGGCCCCCCCCCCCCCCCCCCTCGTCTAAGACTGTAAGGTCGGAACTGAAATTGCTGGCATTCGAGGGCTGTGCACAACTGCTCAAACTTGTCACGAAATTCACTAATGTTCGAGTTGAGGATGAGAGCTTCAGGACTCAGATGGCGAAGCAAGAAACTGGCGAGCTGTACAACTGACGGGTCATCGATCACAACTGACTCCTGCCGATGGAACCGCAAGCCACTTTTTTGTGATCGGAAGAATGATCACCATCTTGGCGCGAGCCTCATCGATAGCTATCTGCCACCGGCGCAGCGTCAGCACCTCGGTGGTCCTCAGGACGCCTGCGAAGCCCAGAACGAGCAGCACTGCGATGTCATTACGGCCCCAGCCTCTCGCCGTGGCCGCCATCGCCAGCAGGACCACCTCGGGCAATGGCAGGACGCGCTGCGGCAGCTCGAGGTTCTGCCAAGCTCGCAGCAGTCGCCAAGAGGCTGGCAGGATGCGCTTCTTCCGCAAGAAGAACTGAACTGCCGACAAAGCGTTGCCCGCCAGGCCTTGCGGGTGGCCCTCGGTCCAGAGCCACTCGATCCACTCGGCCACGAGTAGGTCAAGCTTGTCAACGTGATCTGAAGTACCCGTCCAAATCAAACCTCGGCCCGCAGACCAATCTGAAAACTGTCTAACTGCATTGTGGTAAAAATCGAGCGTCCGCGGCTGCACCAGATTGTGAGAGAGGCGCCCCACTGCAGCTCGAAGGTGTCGACGTGTGGCCTGATCTGCTGCCGCTCGCACGCGGCACGGTCTACGCACTGGCATCTGGCGGCCGCGCGGACCTCACCGCCGCCCGCGATGGATGATCGGCGGGGCTGCGGTCGGTCTCTGTGTAACCATGCACGGGGCGAGCCAGAGCAGCCAATATCAAAGCACCAATACGTCGAACTGAGATATGCAATAGATAAGAAGATGAGCGACCACGAGTGATCACTCCCAAACCTGCCTGAGAATCCATCAAATGACAGAACCGCGCGCGTAAATGATGAGAAGAACGAAATCTCCATCTGAGAGCCCCCAGCGTCGCACGCACCTCGCGGCCCGTGATGTGCGAGGGTCTCTTCCACTCCCAGATGGCGGTTGCGCGCCAGGTCCAGCGGGCCACGCTGATCGGCCTCCTGGGCCACAGATCTGGCCGCATCGCCTCGAAGGTGTCCAGCCTGATGTCGCTGCCGCGAGCTTCAGCCCGACGCGCCAACTCCGCCACGATCACGATGTTCGGGTCCAGCGCCGCGTCCGGCTCCTCCAGGTTGTGCTGCCTGATGGGCACGCCCTCATCGTGGTTGACGTCGTCGAGGGTGACGCTGGCATCCTCGATCGTGGCGCCGCCGCCTATGTCGCGCATCTCAACTACCGAGGGAACGGCGTGCAAGTACCCAAACTTCACCGCCCAGTGCGACAGGATCCACGCCACCACCAGGCACTGGAAGCTGTTGCCCAGCAGGGAGCAGCGAGTCGCCTCCAGCTCGTGCTTCTCCAGCTTTCTGGCCCTGGTGACCCGAGCTGTGATGGTGTGCCCCGGCAAGAAATCGAGAAGCAGCTCTCTCTCCACGCTGTTGGGTGGTCTGAACACACTGTTGGGCTCCTCGATGCAGTTCTCGTCCTTAAACTGGCATGGCGCGTAGCAGTACCCGGAATCTCGCCATCTCTGAAGCTCCTCTTCAGAGCAACGTTGCAGCCCAGTAGGAAACTTCCCAAGTGCGCGCCGAGGGATACATCGCAAGAATGTTGGCAACCGAAACTGCTCATCCGCGTCCCCCGCCCACTTGAGATCTGGCTCAGCCAACGCCTCACCGGGCCAGGACCCCCAGGCACGTGGATCATCTTGACGCCGTCGGAAAAGGAGACGTCGCCTTGCCACTCGCACAGCAGGTTCTCGTCGATCCAGTACAAGCGGTCGCGATAGCAGTGCGCGATGCAGCCAGCTTCGACACGAACTGGCTGGTGACCGAGGTGCTCGCTAATAACGTTGCGCGGCTCGGCGTCCATCGAGGCCACGTTCTCGATCAAAGTCAAGAACCGACAGAACTCGACCAGCACTTCCTCCAAAAGCAAGCGGATGTGGGTGATCTCAAAGAACAGCTTAGAGCGCCTCCCCTGAAGCCCGACGCGCTCCACGTTGATGCGAGCGAGGTCGGTGCACGGGCTCCCGCCGATGAGGAGGGTCCACTTGATGTGGGGCACGCGGTCCCTGATCGCCATCGCCTCAGCGTGCCCGAAGGGCTGCGCGTCGCCAACCTCCAGCACCTCGGGCCACGCGTACTTGGTCACCCGCTTGGCCTCGGCATCGATCTCCGCGGACACGAACAACGCCGGGGCGAGACCCAAGAGGTCCAAGGCCCTGCAAGCTCCTCCTATCCCATCGAAGAGGGGCACCAGCACCACCTCGTCGCGGAAGTCCGTCGCGAGCCTCCTACTCGCTGCTCTTGCCGCTGCAACTCCCTCTCGCCGAAGAAGAACGGAACGGCAGACTGCGCCCCTCTGCATGCTGGCGTCGGACACCGTCACCAGGCCGCTGATGGGCACGCGCAGGTCGCAGCGCAGCAGTGGCAGCAGCGTCAGAGCCGCGATGAGCTCCTCGCGGACCATGGCAGGCAGTGGAGCCTGGCCCTGGATGCGGACCAAGAATCGCCACAACTCGGTGAAGCACACCATCGCCTCCCTCCTGAAGAGCAGACAACGCACCCAGCGGCCCGCCAAGATCTGCATCCACTTCTGCGTGGCGAACTTCCTCTTAAGCGTCTCGATGGTGAGAGAGACCAAACGCTGCACGAACTGGGCGGGGGGTGCGATGGTGCCCTGAGCCCCGTCGATCGCCTCCCCCAAGGACTGCGACTTCACCTCCCTGATGACGGCCTTGTTCTCGCTCCGAGGCACCCCGAAGCTCTTGTACCTCTCTCTCGATGCCTGGGC